GTAATCGTTACTTTTACTCTGTACTCCTCTTATTTGTGTGTTTTATTAGTGATTGTGAAACACCTTGGGCAACAGCTGTTGCATTAAATGTGCTATAGGCTATAAATAAACAAATGAAATGAATGAAATAATCATGAATAGATGCGCTTTAATGGACTTCCAAAATCAAACAGCCATTCACTCTCATTATCAAGCTTGGAAGAGCCAGGACATTTTTTAATATAACTCTGATTGTATTCATCTGAAAGAATAATGTCATATACACCTAGGATGGCTTCAAGGTGAATAAATCATGGGCTAGTTTTAATTTTTGGGTGAACTATCCCTTTAAATTAGTTAAATAAAGTCTGAAATGAACGTAAAGAGTTGTGAGAGAATGAGGCACATATGAGATCCGTGTCATGTGCAGCAGCAGCTGGTTTTAAAGGGACAGAAGCCAATAATGCTGTCTGTCAGTAAAGTTAATCAAAGAACAAAGTGAACAGAGAAAATTACTCACTAAAGAACTTTTGTAGCTTTAATAAGGATTAGTCTATATTTAATCTATACTTTATTCAATTTCTGTATATTTGTCTGTATATGTTAGACATGTAGGAAGGGCACAGGTAAATATGACATTATGGGTTTATGTGAGGATTGTTTGAAGTTCACTTTTTTAAAGTCTGTACTTTTACAGGTCACTTTTCACAATTTAAAGTTGTTATATTTTTTGAAGCCTAATAAATGTTTAAAAAAATTGATAGCTTTCAATTATACTGTAATGTTGAATGGCTATAATTAATGTAGGAGGAGAGGGGGGGGGGGTCATTTGTATCCTGACATCAGCAGCTGTATTAGTATCAGTGATACTGACCTTCATTCATAAAAAGATGCCATTTTATGCCAAATTATGCCCGTATTTAAAATTTACTGTCTTTATTTTGTCTCTTTAATTTGGAGATTAACTGTGAAATGATTACATTATAAAATATATAAACTAAATATAAACCTATAAAAATGTACGTGTTTTTAATTTTGTGATTAATCTAGTTAATTTTTTTAATCGATTGACTAATTATTTTATTACTCTATTGTTAATGAAGCTAGTAAAACTGACAAAAGTAATACATTTTTTGTATTGTTTTGTTTTCGTGATGTTGTTTTAATGTAATTGTGGTTGGACAGGAGGACATAGTCACTGGCTGATTTGTTAGCTAAATAACAAGCATATAACATTTTCCATCTTTCTAGATTTTTTTATAGCTGTTTTGAAGCTATTGAGTTGAATGATTGATTTCATCTTGAACTTCATAGACATATTAGTACAAAGTTAACCTAATGAAGTGAGAGGAGTATCATATAACCTAACATGAAATGTAATTTTTTATTTTATTTGATCTTTTAAGTAACTGTTTCTAATATATTTTTCTAAATAAGTATTTAAAAAATCACCTCCCTATACCTTTAAACTGTAAAGCAATGAATAGTAAACATGTTTCTCTTTCTCAGCGAATGTCTCTAAAGAGCATAGCGCAGATGATTAAACAATTTTACCATGAAAGCACCTTTTCCTACAATGCATTCCACTGTGAATAGCATGCCTATTTACGACACATTTCTTCATTGCACCAGGGTACAGACAATAACATTATGTGATGTGCCTGCAAACCACATGACACAAGGCACAATTTTGTTTCTCTTTCATCTTCTCAAACACAACTCATAGGTACAAATTTAAAAGCAAATATATGTTAATGTTCCATATACTTTTTTCTTTCCTGTTGAAGAAAATAATATATTTGGCTGGTTGGAAAAAGACAAGGAATTTAACATTTCCATATGAGAAAAGTCTGTAAAAATAGACACCATGTACTGTCTTAATGCGATTTTTCACAGGTGTTTTACATTATTATGTATTTTGAATTATGCATTGGATTGTGTTGTGTTTTAGGTTTGAAGGAAATGTCTGTAAACTTAACAACTACTTTCCTGGCAGAAAATTGCCAGTACCTTTGTCGTTTTTCTACAATTTTTTTATTCTTACAGTGTGCATTCCTTTTGAAGGCATAGCCTTGACATTGTAGTTTTAAATGAATACATACACAACAACAACACAATGTTACAGTATAAACTACACTGTGCACCACAGGCTTATATTTCGTTGAAGCACAGCTGACATCACAGCAGATATACCGAAACAACATTCCAGCTTGTGTTAAGATGGAATTCAATTAAAACCTTTACAAGATCAGGTAAGAATTTTAATCAGAGAAGCATTGTTTTACATAATATCACAGTAGGTTAAATGTGATGAACCATGTAGTGCTGTTACACATTTGAATGTTGTGCATTCTGAAATTCTATATTTTCTTTAGTTGGGATTTTCACACTGCGTTTAATTGGGTTATCCAATTATAGGCATACAGGCAATGAAGCAATCGCATTTGTGCGTTTAAAGTCACCATGAAATCAAAATTGAAAATACTTGTTTTTAATGGGATATTGCAGTGTTTTTTTAATAAATGGTTTATCTGTGCACATCTTCTTTTTTTATTTATTTAGTGCTCTCGTAATCTTACGACATCTCTTCTCTGATGATGTGTATACTGGTGCGAGGGCGGGACAACCTGTTAATCACATGAGATCGACCGATAGCAAACCACAACGATCCAATCAATCAAATCAAGTCCCGTCCTAAATTTTTTCTAGGGGAAAAAAGACTATTTCAACTTCAGTTTCATGTCAACTTTAAAACGATGGTGTAAACAATGTCTTGAAAAGTTTAACTTAAAAAAAAAAAAAAGAGTTTTGCTTATTTGAACTTGAGTGCCGCATTTTAGAACGGCGTGTTTTACGCAAGACGTGAGTGCTGCAGTTACAGAAACTTTCACATGCTGCACCTCAGTTGTGGGTAATGAGTGGAAGAGAGTGTGTGTTCATTCACTTCCCCCCAGTACTGAGACTTGAACCCGTGACCTTCAGGTTAAAAGTCAGACTCTCTAACATTAGGCCACAACTGCCCACAACTCTAAGAAGAGACTGTTTTATTCTTACTGTTATTTCATCTGTTTAGGGCAAACTGGATGTACAGTCAGAAATACCAACGCATTCTCATCCTTTGGCGTCATATAGGTGACGCCATATGACATTTCGCCGAAATCTTACGCACATGGGATCCTTTGGCGTCAATATAACACACACTGTTATGGGTAGGTTTAGGTCTGGGGTAGGGTACGGTTATGACGCCTTGGGATCTGCGTCTCATATTCACGCTAAACGATGCCATGTGCGTTGGATTTAGACGAGCGTCACCTGTATGACGCCTTGGGTTCTGCGTCTCATATTGACGCTAAAGGATGCCATGGGAGTAAGATTTCAACGAAATGTACAAAGCGTCACATGTATGACGCCAAAGGATGAGAACGGGCTGGAAATTCATACATTGATTTGAAAGAGCAAGACAAGCCATCACACAGGTTGCAGTGTCCATATTATCGTCCAGTCAATAATATGGACACTGCAAAATTTACGAAGGTACAGTGTGATTGTGTCAGAATTTTCAGTGTGTCCTCTCTCAAGTTAAAATTAAGCATATCAAGAGAGAGCACATTTATGTTCTCACTCTTTGCCTTTCCATTTCCTTTTTTATGTCTCAGTATCTGGCTCTCCTTATTTAAACTTAGAGAAGCTTGAGTACTAGTCTCACCACAGATGTTATTTTATTCTCATAGACACATGCAAAGTAAAATTTTGTACTGCCCTGAAGCTGAGTGTTAAATGGATGAGCTGACAAATTGATGAACAGATCTGATACATGGACAGTATTTCAAAGAGATGGGGTGAGATCAGTGCTCTCATACTTATTGTGATTCTCTGCACATGCATTGGAAGCATTACAATAAGCTGTCACAGACCATCTTGTTCAGTTTAGTATTAAAGGGATAGTCCACTTTGAAATTAATTTTTGGTATGTTTTAGCTTACCTCAAGGGCATCCAAGATGTAGGTGTCTTTGTTTCCGCAGTAGTTTCAATTTTGATGTTTAATTTGGACTTCTCTGTGCATGCTCTTTGAGGTGGAGACCTGCATTATATGACTGACAGACAAGAACGGTTTGACCTAAAAATATCAAAATTGAAACTACTGCGGAAACAAAGACACCTACATCTTGGATGCCCTTGAGGTAAGCTAAAACATACCACAAATTAATTTCAAAGTGAACTATCCCTTTAACAAGGTATTTTTGCAAATAAAAGCAGCCATTTCAGTGAGGACAGCTTTCACAAACCTTGGGACATGTGGACAGGCTTCTATGGCAGTACAAAATTAGATGGTTTCTTTTCAGCATCATTTATAAAGACGAAGAACTGCAGAGAGACATTCAGCTTTTAACATTGTATGTCTTATTTACTGATCCTCCAATTATTGATAACCAACAGAGTGATCCTTTTCTGAATCTTTAATAACCTTGAATGCATGATCAATCCATATCTATCTCTAGCATAGCTCCCATCACACAGGAATTACAGGCAAGTTTACATTTCGTTCCATGTAATGTCCCAGTTTACTTTGCTACAATGGTAGCTTACAAAGAGGAAAGCTGAATCCATTCATGATAATACATAAATGCTGAGATGTGCTGTCTGGAAACGAAGGCATTTTTGAGTTCATTTATAACCACTGTTTTGTTCAAAATATCCATGGAGTCTTTCTTTGCATCAACGCAAGTCTGTTCTATTTAATTTAATTTTACCATGTCTCTATGTTTTGCACATCGACTTTCTTTTCTTGACTTTAATGAAAGGAAATGTGATTGAAATATAAATTGCTCCTTAGCCATGAAATTTTGGAAGAAGTGAAAGGATGTGAATTAGGCCAGATTTTCATAGTGTGCAGGTACTTGTGTCTTCATTGACTATTAGACGAAAAGTGGCTTTGATGTTTCACCACCCTTCAGAACAGTCATGGTTTCTTTCTCAAGAGTTCACAGTGATGGCGAGGGACAGTTAGTTTCAGTGGTTCAGCTTTGCTAAAGAGAACACTTGCATTATCTCAGCACTGCTGATTTAACAGATGGTGGCCAACTTGTCTAACCATGAAGACATCAGCAGCCGCCACATATTGACAGATATATGACCAGCAGGTGAAGATGTGAACCCTAGAGTCATCACTTGACCTGCAGTTTCTTGATGTGGGTTGGCAATCCCCCCTTCCTCCTAGAACAGCGGTTAAAGCCCGTGCATTCATGGCCTTGCTTTTGTATCGCTTATGTCTTCTGTGAGAGAAGATGGCTTCTTTTGATATTTTTCTCACTTTCTACTCCTAAAATCCAAAGGTTATCATTACCCTTGTTCTTCTTTCCGTTCCTTATCGCTGTCTGGAAAAGAGATTTCTAAATGCATTGTTGTAGTTCTTGTTAAAGGCTGTGTAAATGAGTGGGTTGAAGAAGGAGTTTGAGTAACCCAGCCAGAGAAAGACACTTTTCCAGACAGGGGGGATGTCGCATGAACAGAGCGGAATGATGAGCTCAGCAAGGAAAAAGGGAATCCAGCAGAGCACAAATACACCAATCAGGATGCCCACCATCAGAGCCGCTCTCCTCTCTTTCTGCTCTCGCCACGTCTCGCCATCCGTCTGGAAAGATACAGTTGCGTGACGAACTGTGAAGGCCATCTGTGGCTGCCGTTCGGCCTCCTTTACCTAGCAGTAAACAAGTAAAAAGATTAAATGTATTAGTAGTGTTAGTCAAGTACACAACTATAAGGTACTTCATTAACACTATTGGTGAGCAGAATGCAGCAACTACATATTTTGTCAAAACTGAGGGAGTGAAATTGAGTCTCTGTGATCTGTCCGGTGCCGGATCTGAACCAATATGCACAGATTCAGTAGCCTGGGAAAACCCAGACAACTTCCGGCAAATTTAGATTTGCTCTGAAAGTTAGTCTGGCAAAGAGCTCATTCAAGCTCATTTCCAATCCGTCGAAATCGAGGCACCAATCAGAAACGTTGGGGCGGGCTTTACACGATGACGACAGCGCTGGGATTTCGAACATGATTTTGAAGCAGATTTTGTAGCCTACATTACAAAGATGGATGCCGCCGTCGAACATCACTCGTTCGAATCAGCTATCGCATCTGTTTTAAGCGATTTGAACGTTTCCTTTTAGTTAAAAACCGAGCAAAGAACAACACTCGGAGATGTTTTTTCCGCCGCTCTGCATACGTCATCTCCTTCATCGCTCTGATTGGTTTTAGGTCTATCCGCGACGTCCGTTGGTGACGCCCCTCTGGAAATGATTTGTCAATGACGCTTTGCCAGACCATAACTCAGTTACAACTGAGAATGGTCTGGTTTTAACCAGGCTACAGATTCAGAGAAAAAGGAGTGAAAAATTAATATTAAGTTCTTCTAAAATGTAATAAAAAATCTTTAAAGCAGTGTAACTTTGAAAGGCAGTGCAATTTCTTTTGTAACATATTTGTGTCTAGACATCCCATTTTTCCAACTCTGATCTTTAAGCATTACTTACAGTATGTACAGGTCTCCATTCACTCTACCTGTTACAGAATATTTAATTTATTTAACTCAAACTATATCTTTTACATAAAGGTGTTACTGGACTAATCTGAGACTATTCCACATACAGTACGATACATGCATTAAAGGCACAATATGTAAGTTTCCTGCTAGAGGTCGCTTATTCAAAACTATAACAAAGGCGTAGCTTGATGACGGCATGAATGAGCATGGAATCGTGGGAGTTGCTGTCTTCACCTCCACAGCTGAATGAAAGCAATCTGATGGGGCTCAGCCAGAAATCATGTTCATGTATGAGCGAATGTATTAAAGTTGTATTAACGTTACTGTGGTATGAACAGGGCGCAGACGAGAGCCTTTCAGTGGAGCTAATGCTGGTTGATGCCAAAATGCTAAAGCTAAAAAGCTGGTTGACTTGTGTTCTTAAATGGCATTCAATTCATTTTAAAATATATTGTATGGCAGAGAAAATAAAGCTCTTTCTGATTTTGCTATGTTAAGCCACTTGACAAAATAGTGTCTCTGAGTCAAGAAAACAAGAGATTCAAACAATAAGACTAACCATGTTGAACTATATAACAATTATTTTCTGTTGGGTATCTACATTTATGGAAACATTTGGGATAGTACAAGTACACAAGGCAACCAAATATATAACATTGTGCTAGTGTTTTTTGAATATTTGAATCTAAAAAAATGTACACGTTGTGCCTTTAATGTTTGAAAATGTGAAGTGTCTTTCCCCACTTTGCTTCTGCAACACATGACATTGTGTGACAAATCTCACATCATTCCCTTGAAAGCAGAGGTGTGAATTTTCTAAATCAAGATAATATATTTATATTTTCTGTATTTTCTCACAAAGTTCCCTATGATAATGTCACCAACTAAGAAGTCTGCATCTAGCTCAATGTGCCCCACACCAGCCACCCTTTTGGAAAATAGTTTTTAGTAATATTCTAGATTAATCTCTATGTTGGCAAATCACCAAAATGTAATTAAAAAATATCACACTGTGCCAAGAAAAAAATTAAGTTTTAAAAGAAGCCAAAGCATCATGCTTTATGTGTTGCCAAGCAACACACTGAGGGACAGCATGTTAAAATCACACCATTTCACTCCGCTTCCATACCGCTCACATACTATAGTCTGGAATGCTGATATAAACTGTGAAACTTCCTAGTGCTGTTATATGAACTATTGGCACTTCTGAACTGTAGCTATCCAATCAAATTAGAGTACCGGAACTAACTTGTATAAAATATATTTTTACCCTGAAAAATTAGCTTTGACATAGAATCTTACACTACAGTATAAACATTGTTTGGCTTGTCTATTGCATCTTGAATCTTTAAAATAGGTATTTAAATTAGCTTTTGTTTGAAAGGCTGTAGTTGAGTAAGCGGAGTACTGTGGCAGAACAAAACAAAATTACAGCATATGTGTGTTTGTTTGAGCATTTCAACAGATAAAAGAGGCAACGGGGCTATTAATTGATTTTTGGATCAGTGCACGTTAGTGAGAATAATGGACTCAAGTATTTTTTAGATGAAAGAAGGGAGTGTGTGTACAAGAGGTAACAACCCTGTAAACGAGATGATGGAGAATTTTTGGAAAACATTCATTACATAAAACGTTAACTGTCTGAGGTGGTTGGACAAATTTAAAGATAAATATGCAAACTTTTTTTTTTTAAAGATTGTTTTTCAGAGGAGAGTTACTGTTGGTGTTATACGACACTACCCAAAGGTACCACATTCTCTCATCAAATTCTCTGCATTGAATGTAGAGAATGTTGAATTTATCAACTACTAGTTTTTTTGAAAGAAAGGAGGAGAATAGAATTAAAATGAGAGACATGATCAAATTATTAGGCCTTAATTACATGTCTACACTGCCATGTAAGATTTTCTCCATGAGGATATAGGATGAACACAGAACATCCATATAAACACACACAGAAACACATACTTGTTTGAGCTAGTAATTAGGTAAATCAATCAATCAATCAATTTGTGCTTACTGTGATTAATATAAAATGTATATATGGAGAATTTAATGATATGCCAAGTTAATGAAGAAATATTATTTTATATTATTTCTGTTTTAAATTACATAATATAGACATGAGGTGTTATCTGATATGAAATGAATTACTGAAATTGAATTACATGTGGAAAATGATTGGAGAGCCCTTTAAAATTAGAACATGAATATTATCTGGGAATCTAAAAACTGAAAAAGACAATAGAGAAGTGCATGTTTCAAATGGTTGTTCTTTGTGAGCAAGCAGTGAGACGTTGCTTCCAATTATACCTCTCTCACTCGGAGCATCTGTATTGGGAGGGAACTGTGTGTCAATGTGGGACCAGATGTCAGCTCCTGTCCTTAAATTAATTAAGGACATCTGGCCTGACAGACTGTCAGTCTGTGCATAGTGGTGGCAGGTGGGTATTTTTAGTAACTATTTTTGCAGGTTACATTGTTCTGCCATTTGGCTGTCTTTATAAATGTGAGGCATAATTGAACCATTCAATCTATTCATTCATAAACCACTGAAAATTAATTTGTGAATGGTACAAGTGTCTGCCTTTATGAGTGGCTTATTGAATTATTTACTCAATCAATTAGTTCTTTCAGGAATTAAACAAGTGACTAGCTGCATCTGAATAAGCATACTTTCACCTCTATAGTAGGTGAAAAACAGTATGTAAAAAAAAAACAGTAGTACTTCCAGTGAGATGCATGTACACTTTACTATCCCACAAGGTCACGGGAGAGGATTTGGGAATGGCAGTATATACAGTACAATGGCAAAAATACAACCCCAAATCCAGAAAAGTTGGGACATTGTGTAAAATGGAATAAAATCAAGAATCTGTGATTTGTTCATTCGCTTTCAACTTTATTTAACTGACAAAAGTACAAAGAAAAGATTTCCAATGTTTTCACTGAACAACTTAATTGTATTTTGTAAATATTAACACATTTTGATTTTGACTGCTGCTATACACAACGTTGGGACAGAAGCAAAATAGAAAAACAAAAAGTGAAAAGCTTATAGAATATCAAAGTTAAACTCTTTTGAAACAATAAGTATAGGTGAATTGGTAATAGGTGAGGGTATCGTGATTGAGTGTAAAAGGAGCTTATCTGTTTTTGCAAGCAAAGATGGGTCATGGCTCACCACTTTGTGCCAAATATCATGAGAGTATTGTCAAACAATTCAAAAATCACATTTCTCAATGCAAGATTGCAAAGAATTTGTCTTTCACCTTCTACCATACATAGTATTGTGAAAAGATTTAGGGAGTCCAGAGAAATCTCAGTCCATGTAGGGCAAGACAGGAAACCTCTGTTGAATGTGCGTGACCTTTGAGCCCTCAGATGGCACTGCATGAGAAACCATCATCCTACTCTGTTAAATATAGCCACATGAGCTAGGGTGTTCTTTGGAAAACCGTTGTCACTTAACACAGTCTGCTGCTGTATCATGAAATACCACTTGAATCTCTTTTTACGCAAGGAGAAAGCTATACATCAATTCTATGCAGATATGCCTCATCTCAGATGGTGCTGCGGTCAGATGAGTCCACGTTTCAGGTTGTTTTGGGGAAAAATGGACATTGAGGTATCAAAAGGGAGCATCCAGACTTTCATCAGCAACAGGTGCCAAAACAAACATCTGTCATGGTATGGGGGTGCATCAGTGTAAATGGCATGGGTGACTTGCATACAGTATGTGTGTGTGAAGGTACCACTGACGTAGAGGCATATCTTGGGATTGTACAGAGACATTTAATGGCATCAAGATGGCATCTTTCCTTGGAAGCAAGACAATGACAGGCCTCATTTAGCATGTGCTACAACAGAGTGGTTTATTAGATACTCTACACCGTGTAGTGGATGTGCTTGACTGACCTGCCTGTAGTCCTGATCTGTCTCTTATTGAAAATGTATGGCACATCATGAAGAGGAGAATCAGACAATGATGACCACAGACTGTTGAGCAAGTGGAATTTTTGCCCAATCTTGCCTGATACAAGACAGTTTTGTGTCTTGAAAGGAACGGTGATGTGACACAGTGGTAAACATGCCTCTGTCCCAACTTTTTTGGAATGTGTTGCAGCCATCAAAATCAAAATGTGTTTATATTTACAAAAGACAATTAAGGGTGCAGTAAGCGATTTTTGAAAAATCAGGCAAGTTACAGGCAAGGATTACGATCAGGCAAGAGGTAGCACCTGTGTTAATATTGGAGAAGCTTTCCAGCGCTCGAGAGACCTTAAAGGGTTAGTTCGCCCATTTAAGACATGAAGTTGTATGCAATCCTTACCAGCACTACAGTGCATACACACTGACCCACTCTGTTGTCACCTCCCTGGTCAGAGTTCTGGCCGATGGAAGTTTTTCAATAAAGTACTCCGGTTATTTTCCGGGGCCACAAAACTGTGCGTTTTTACGTGAAAAAATGATTTGCGTTTCAAAGCTTGATTAATTTACCACACAAAAAACACGCCGGTCAAAATTCATGTACCTCAGTTTTAATCGGCACTATTTTCTATCCATTTCTATCAATCCGCGCTGCTGTCAACGTCAACAGTGCGCACGTTCCGATCAGCTGTTCCATAGTGTTTACACAAATGATTTACAACGACGTAAAAAGTATTAAATTAACAATGGTGCGAACTTGTAAATTCCCAGGCTGTGACCACAAGGATGTGCCGCGATCAAAGTTCAGATTCCATCGTATTCCTGTTTCGAATATAACTATGAGACAGCTTACCGAGCATAATCTCCATCTGCTGTTAGTCGATCTCACCAGCAGGGGGTGCAAGCGCGTGTTGTTGATTTGGCTGGTTGCTATCGGCTACTCTGCGGGAGCTAAAATATCCAGAATAAAGGATTTTCGTGTGTGTAGTGCTCACTTCAGCGAAGACGATTACATCCCCAACCAAGGAGGAAAAGGAAAATTAAAGAGTTTTGCTGTACCAGTACCACGGGTAAGCTCTATTTACTAACTTTATGATCCCATGTCTAAACTGTACGGTAAACAAGCTGATGTTTAGACTCCATTATAAAACACGTGAATATAAAATATATATATTCTAATATAAAAACAGTATATAGGGATATTGGTACAATTTGCTGAGAAAACTATTTGATTGAACACACACACAATTGAGGTTTTGTGTTGCAATCAATAACATTGTCGTTGTGCTAAAATTACTTTCATCATCTGATCCGTCTGACATTGTGCTAAAATTGGTTTCATCATCAGAAGTTTCGTAGTCAGACATGTTGTCAGCGAGTCGCGCTATCAACAGCTGATCGGAACGTGCGCACTGTTGACGTCGACAGCAGCGCGGATTGATAGAAATGGATAGAAAATAGTGCCGATTAAAACTGCGGTATGAATTTTGACCGGCGTGTTTTTTGTGTGGTAAATTAATCAAGCTTTGAAACGCAAATCATTTTTTCACGTAAAAACGCACAGTTTTGTGACCCCGGAAAATAACCGGGAGTACTTTATTGAAAAACTTCCAGCGGCCAGAACTCTGACCAGGGAGGTGACAACAGAGTGGGTCAGTGTGTATGCACTGTCGTGCTGGTAAGGATTGCATACAACTTCATGTCTTAAATGGGCGAACTAACCCTTTAAGGAGTGGGAAGGCCTGAATACTGACACCGAGGTTGCTTTATTTCTTCTCGATACGTGAGTAACGTTGGTTTTGCTGTGTTTCACAGAACTAAGACATGTTGTCTTTTGCTTGAATGTACTCGTATGCCATCTTCATTTGTTTGTTCATTTGCATTATTATTACTATAAGCCTGGAACGTCTAAACCTCTTCCACCGCCCATTTCAAGCATTGACTCCCAATGTGTGCCAAAGTGTGTTTTTTGGCTCACCTTTTAGTGAGTGATTGCTATAACCCCTTAATCTTGTCACATTTGTAATATTACTTGGACTATCGTGGTATGTAGGGAGCTGTTCATGAAAACTGTGTTTGTTTGTTTTTTGGGATGTAAGGGATGACTTTGCCATTTGAAGGAGTTGAGGAGCTAAATAGCAAATAGACATTTGACCTGATTTAACATTATAGTAACAGAAATTGCTTTCACTTATTGATGACATTATACCCCCGGGCAGCAGGCACAGCTGATTCCGCCATAGTGGTTGCATAGCGTGTACCTGAATGTGGGGGCGGAGGCATCGAGATTGGGTTTTGATCTTATTGGGTATGGGCATGTTTGTTTTGGTGATATCAAATATCAACAGCGTTTACCAGAAGTCACTTACTGCACCTTTAAGTTGTTCAGTAAAAACAATGGAAATCTTTTCTTTGTCCTTTTGTCAGTTAAAGAAAATTAACAAATCACAGATTCTTGATTTTATTGCATTTTACAAAACGTCCCAACTTTTCTGGATTTGGGGTTGTATGTTTGAGAACCCTTTGGAAATATCTGAATTTCTAGTAATAATTTATAAAATGTGGTCTGATCTTCTAAATCACAATTAAATACATAATCTGACTAAACTAATAACACACAAACAGTTGTACTTTTCAATTTTTTTATTGAAGACATTGAGTGATCATTAACAGGGCAGGCTGGGAAAAGAAAGTGAAACTCTTGTGTTAAGACTTCTTTAAAAGCTAATTGCATTCAATTAAGGAGATGAGATTGGAAGTGTGGGTTACACACAATAAAGGCACACTGGTTACTGTCAAATCTGTTCTTCAAGACAGATTGGTTAGTGTGGACCATGCCTCAATCCCAATTTCTTAAAAAACACATTACAGAGATGCACAAAGATGGAAAAGTCTATACAAAAGCATTGCTAAAGTGGTAAGTGGTAAAGTGGTCCATGGTAAGTGACCCTGTCTTCATGGGTTTTATTTTGACATTGGTGAGGACATAACAACAGTTCCCGCTGAATTGGAACAGTGATGATTCTAAAAGAAAGCATGCACAGGTCCCATATTTCTATAGTAGTAGTGAACAACTTTCACGCTCATCTAATAAACAGCATGCTCTTATTTCAGTGTTGCTTTTAATTTTGTGGATATTTCAGCGAACAATTTGCACTCATATTGTACATTCAGTTTAACAACATTAAAGTTAAAGAGGGTAAACTTTAACTAAACTGTGCACATGTTTTAAACACATACCTTACGTTCTTACTCCGTCCATGCAATAAATGCACATCTTTGAAAAAGCAGTTTTCTAGTATACTTGAACTTCTCAGGTCATGTCAAATGCGGATAGAATTACATCAACAGTGATTACATATAAATATATTTTAATTTTTTGAACTATATTCTATAGTCTATATTGGTAGGGACATGTCACTAGTGTCCCTACTAAATGTCTCTGCCCTTGCCATCTTCAAATGTAGAAAATTCTGGATTGATGCTATACTTTCCCTAGGAGTGGGCATCATGCAAAGATCACTCTCAGAACACAACAAGAGGTGTGAATGAACCCAAGGATAACAACAAAAAGACCCCTGATAACTCTACAAACTGCAGAAGTCTTTGTTCATGTGTACGTTATTTCAGAAGCACTGAACAATAATGGTGTTCATGAAAGGACAACACATAGGGAAACCAGTGCAAAAAAAAAAAAAAAATGTTGAGACATGTCTCATGTTTGCCTAAAACCACCAGGTTGTTCCATAATGCTTTTAGCAAATGTTCTTTGAACAGTGGAGACAAAAGTTGAACAGTTGAGACAAAAATGCACAATGTTTTGTTTGAAGAAAAAAGGGATCTGCACACCACCTCTAAAACCTCATCTCAAATGTGAAGCATGGTGGATGGTTTAATGCTGCTTTGCTGCCTCAGTGTCTGGACACTTTGAATTAATTAATGGAACAATGAATTCTAAAGTCCATCAAGACATTTTACAGGAGAATGTTGGGACAGAAGCTAATGACTTCAAGCTTTAGAGAGGATGGTTGATACAACAAGACAATGATCCAAATCACACAAATAATACGAACCAAAGAATGACTGAAAAAATGCGACATACCCTAAAGAGGGCTGTGCTCTCAAGACAACCTAGAATTTAATAACTGAAACAGATTTGTGGGGAGTTGCTAATGGAGGATATAAGGCCTTGTCCACACGGACACGGGTATTTTTATAACCGTGACCTTTTTTACGCGGTTCGGCCGTTTGTCCACACGGAAACACAGTACCAGGTTACTGAAACCGAACATTTTTGAAAACCCCTGCAAGGGTGAGGATCTTCAGAAACGCTGGTTACAGTGTTGTCATGTAGACCTTGCGACGTCAGAGTGTGTGCCGTTATCCGCTGTGTTTGACGTTAGATTGTGCGCCGTTATCCGCCTACCGGTAATAACTTTTTGTTAGGCTTCTGATTGGCCAATGTGGCTTTACGGTTAGGGTTATATTGTCGCCTACTGGTGTGGCATGCTCTTGACAGTGCTTGATAGCGTGTTTTTGCATTTTCATGTAGACGGAGATTTTTTTTAAACCGAGCATGTGTGGACGTGATTTTTTTTTTAAACGCAGGAGGAAAAAAATACCCGTGTCCGTGTGGACAAGGCCAAAGAGTTACAAAATGTTTCACTTACTTTTTGCGCAATGTATTTAATAAAAAATTGAACAATTACAGTTATTTGTGTTATTAGTTTAGTCAGATTGTGTTTATCTATAATTATATATAATATATAAAAATCTATAATCTATAAAATAAGATTTAAAGATCAGACCACATTTTATGAGTAATCAATGCAGAAATCCAGGTATTTTCAAAGAGATCACAAACGTATTCTTGCCACTGTGTATACATAATCTTATATAAACTTTTTTCTTTTTACCTCTATGACTTCAGCCATTGGTGTGATGGTGTTGGTCTTGTGAGAGCCAATGCGGAACTTGGCAGCCTTGTAGATCTTCCAGTAGACAAAGAGGACCACACAGAGGGGCAGGTAAAAGGCTCCAAAAGTGGAGAAGACTGTGTATGAGGGCTCCTGGCTTACTTGACAAGCCAGGCTGACTTCTGAGTAGGTCTCACCCCAACCAAAAAGCGGAGAAAGCGAGATAACAGAGGAGAGTAGCCATGTGAGGCAAATCATCACATTGGAGATTCGTTTACGTGTTTTTAATGTGTACTCCAGGTGGCGTGTTATGGACCAGTAACGATCTAGGGCAATGGCCGTCACATTCCAGATACTGGCTGTGCAACAGAGTACATCGCAGGAGATCCAGACCTGACACAGGGCCCGACCCAGAATCCACCGCCGTCCACAAAGCTCCCTAACCAGACTTAGGGGCATAACCAGTCCTGCAACCATCACATCCGAGATGGCCATGGAGGCAACCAGATTGTGGGGAACACGATGGAAGGTGCGCACCCTCAGGATGGTCACCAAAACCAGAAGGTTCCATACAAAGGTGGCCAGCACAAGCATGGCCAGCAAAGTGAGTGTGAGAACACTGAACACAGAAAATGGACGGTACAGATTACCCAATTCAGATCCTCCAGAGATATTAGCCAAGAGTACTGTAACATTGGGTTGAGTCATGGCAGCATGTGACTGTATGCAAATAGATATCTGGCTCTAATTAGAAGGCAAGGTGAAAATAAATGAAGTCACTGTAAGAGTGAATGGATTTTTCTTTTCTTTTTTTACTGTTTTTTAGGTCAGGCATGGTTTTCTTTTTGGATGTTTTTAAGTTAATTCATTTGAAAACATTTGCAAGAGTTTGCTTTCTGAGTGGGTGTTATTTTCTTGGCACTACAATTTGTGAGCTTATTGTCCTTTAGCTCACAGTTTTGTATGCCGGTCACTGAAAAGGTAGGCGTTTTGAAGTGCTGCCATACTGATTATAGATGACATTATGATTGCACATATTGATAATCGTGAGTTTATAGCCTTCAGTAATTTAAAGGTTCACAGGACACACATCTGAAGATGGGAGAAGCCATCCTCCATCCTTCATCCTAAAAGACAAGAAAAAAAAAGCATAAATGAATTTTATAGTTCATCCCACAAAATCGTCTTATTCAGCTACCACCTGAAATAGAAAATAGCTCTAGGCTATGGAATGGGTTTCTTTTTTCCTATATATATATATATATCTTATGTGTTTGTGCCAGGACATTGTAAACACATCCTGGCTGAGGATGTGCACACTGTGAAGGGTTTTATTCTGGCCTTGAACAGTGCAAACTATAAGCTTTGCCTCACTTCCCAATCCCATGAATGTCCCATCTATACGTGCAAAATCAAGCGTAGCGTTAGTTCTGGCAGGTCACTTCAGTCAAGCTTGCATCAGCAGACTCTCACCTATGACATCCATCCCTATATATAAGGTCCATTCGGTATTATCAGCAGCTTTATCGTGTTGCTCAGGAGCTAATTACCCTCCTCTATCCCCAGCTCCTCCTCTCGTCCAGTCAGGACTTGGCCTTCTGATATTCCTCTTAAATCAGACTAATTTTTCTTAAATTATGTTGTACATTAAATTATTGAACATTAATGATATCTGCAATACATGCTAGTTCTGTTCTGTTTACCCTAAGGGTGTTATCGCTGCTCTCCCTGCTCTTATTCATGCTAGGCTGCATGGATGGGCAGGGAGTTCTTGCCCACAATAGAACCATATCGCCAATCCAAACTGTATGCTGCTAATTGTCAATCATCTTTGACGATATTGGTCCTGACAGAATTCATGTGTTGTGATGTTCCATTGTGCTGTATTAATTTGATAAAACAACAAGAACAAATAATGACAGAAAACTGTTGGGCTGAGGATTTCCCTGGATAAGTATTTCATTTGACTGTGTGGATTTACTGCCTTTTTGCCAACATACTTTTGAATGACTTATTCTTATTTTAGTTGCTCAAGTCCTCTGTAGAAACCTTTCGACAAGTTTGTAGAAAACGTCTCTGGTTACTTACGTAACCTATGTTCTCTGAATAGGGAACGAGACGCTGCGGAAAGCGCAGTGGGATATCCTCTGGATGTGCCGATTGCCTGAAGCCCTATAGAATCACGCCAATTCATTGGCTGATGGCGCTTGCGCAAAGCTGGCTCCGCCCCGACGCTCTTACGTCGTAGCATGATGAACGCGCGCGCGCCCTCTTCTCAGATTTCTCTGCCGAAAAGAAAAACTGTCAGCAGCGCGAGGAGCTTGGCAGCGAACGCAGCGTCTCGTTCCCTATTCAGAGAACATAGGTTACGTAAGTAACCAGAGACGTTCTCTTTCATAGGTTCACTCAACGCTGCGGAAAGCGCAGTGGAAACGAAATACCAAACTCGCCAAGCTAAGCGCTGCCATAACTGGTACCAGACCAAATAATAATAACAACCATGATAGGTTCAAGCAGATAGAACCTGGGAACCTGGAGTCATGTCAAGATCTAAATTATAGAACCTCACAAAGGTGTGCGGAGAGGACCAACCTGCCGCCACACAAATGTCTTCCAAGAGGGCCCCTCTAAAGAGAGCTTGAGAGGAAGCCACACTTCTGGTGGAATGTGCTCTGATGCTAAGAGGTGAAGGCAAACCACGCACCTCGTAAGCCAGCGAAATAGCGTCCGTTACCCAGTGGGAAATCCTCTGCTTTGATGCTGCAAGCCCGCGGCGGCCAGCACCAAAACATACCAAGAGCTGGTTTGATTTCCTCCAACCGCCTGAGCGATCTACATACAACTTCAAAGAACGGACCGGGCAGAGCAAGTTAAGTTTCCTTTCTTCCTCAGAGGCAAAAGGAGGAGGGTGGAAAACGTTAAGGTTAACAACCTGAGAGCGGAACGCCGTGGAAAGAACCTTGGGTACACACCCCGACCTCGGCCTCAAGGTAACCCTAACCAGGCCAGGAGTGAAGTCCAAGCATGACTCACTAATAGAGAGAGCCTGCAAATCCCCCATCCGCTTTAGTGAAGATAAAGCTAACAAAAGAGCAACCTTAAGAGTCAGAATCCGCTCAGGGGCTGACTCCAAGGGCTCGAAGGGAGCCTCTGTCAAACCCTCCAGGACGACTGACAGGTCCCACGAGGAAACACTAGGGGGGCGAGCCGGTTTCAGGCGCCTAACCCCACGCATGCAGGCCGAAACTAACCTCAGTTTCCCCAAGGGAATCTCATCTGATTCTCTATGAGCGGCAATAGCTGCGACATATACTCTGAGAGTGGTAGCGGCCGCTCCGGAAGCAAACTTTTCCTGCAGGAATTCCAGCACTGAGCCTACTGGGCAGCTAACTGGGTTCCTATCATGTGCTAAGCACCATGCCTCGAACACCCTCCACTTGGAGGAATATAGCCTCCTCGTCGAAGGGGCTCTAGCATTCGCAATGGTCTCCTGAACGTCGGTTGGGAGATCAAAGCTTAAAGTGCGTATGTCAGGTTAAATTTGTAATTATGATTAACACAAAATAGTAAGGGGAAATACACGTTTGACAAGTTGATGTATTGTTTTGTATGGGTTTCGATACCTAAAGGCAGAATATAAGATAAAAAAAGGTCGTTATTTTCAGTCCTCACTGAAAACTGCTCCTCCCCTCAAACGGATCGCTTGACGTCATAAGAGGGAGACGTCTCCTCAGGTCGCTGAGAAAGTGAGTTTGTGAGCTGTGTTCAGTGTGTTGATAATTGTACGAGTGATAGAGCAAGAGAATTAGTGATTAGGACATTTATTTATTTAGTTAGTTAGTTAGGTATTTATTTATTTATTTATTTAGGTTAGTTATTTAAGTTAAGGTAACGTTAGTTAGTTAGGTATACGCAGGCATATTTTCACGATGGTGAATTACTGCGTTTGTGCTGGGTGCAAAAACACCGTTAAAACCGGTCACAGAGTCCACTTTTTCCCAAAAAGCAGGTCTGTGTTCCGTGCCTGGGTCAACTTTGTTCGGACTAAACGCGCTGACTTCAGTGCTGCTTCGGTATCTAAGACTTCGGTCATTTGCAGCGCCCATTTCACTGAGAAGGACTACGCTGTTGGAGATCTCATGAGTTATAAAATGGGATTTAAAACCCGAGTGAAACTGGTAGCTGATGCGGTGCCTACGGTATATGCTACTGTAGAAGCAGTCGACGGAGGACAGCGAGCCGGTCAACAACGAGCCGGTAAACAACGAACCGGACGATCGAATGCCCAGATGAAGCGGGAAGTGCTCACTGTAAGTGTTGTAAGATAATTGCTTGGTTTATGTGAAAACACGATTTGTTGCCAAAAATACGTATGGGCTTACTCCTATAAATACTCATTTGATTCTAGCAATTACCTAGCTAACGTTAGCGTTGTGATCATAGTCAGCAACCTTGTCATTATGTTGTAATTTTAGAGTTTCGCATTATTCTCTTCCTGTTTTAAAAATGCAGTAAAATAGCATTAGTCCGTTTGTTCAAGGATGTATTGTTGACTGTTGTATTTGCTTCAGCTTTTGGAAGATGCAGCGGGACCGTCACGGAGGGATGCACCCACAGTCAGCCATGCAGTGCATGTTGACCTAGAACCAGAGGTAGACCCAGAACCAGAGGCCCATTACGCACCAGCATCTGTTCATCACAGTGGCTCACAGTGCAACATTAGACCTTTGCGACGTTCAGCAGGTAGGATATAATTGGTCTTATATCTGAGGTTGACTTGTCACTGTGGTTGGTTTGGTTGTGTCTTTTTATAATGCAAGGCCTTCATTCAATCACAGCTGTTCAGGTAAGGCCGAAGATGGTCAGTGTGGGGACACAGACGGTAACACCAAAAGTCAAGACCACTTCAACCCCTCTGCCCAGTCCTGTTGATAGTGATGATGAGACCAGCTCTTTCATAGACATCGACAATGATATGTCATGGATGCCAGAGGAGGAGGAGGAGGAGGAGATGAGTTACTCATCACTGCCACAGGAGTCTAACCCAGAACTCAAGTAAGGAAATTAGATTACTTTGGTTTTAGATTTTGACTGTCAAGAAATTCTGTTGTGGTTCGAAGGTTCTGTAAATGTGTGCTTTGTATATTTGTTGAGCATTTTTGCCTTTATTGTGATAGGACAGTTAGAGAATAACAGGAATGGTTTGGTTTTTCAGCCTGGCTGATAAGTTTATTGTCTGTGAAAGCCAGTTGATGTCTCTTTTCACAATTTGCCCTGCATGTTGTGGGGAAAGCAAGGGTAGCATGAACCAGAAGGAGGGAACTTTTATCAAAATAAAGCAAGTAAGATGATGTTTGTAAATTCCACTGTTTATACAATTTAAATAAACTGTATCGTTTTTAGTGAATTTGAGTTATATATTTCAAGGTGTAATTGTGACTCCTAACATAGTTTTGCTGTTTTTTATTTTTGCGTATTCTATACATCTAGGTCTGTGCAACATGTGGCTATGAGCGTTATTGGCAGAACCAGCCCATGTTGCATAGAAATATGCCTGTTTGCAACCTTCTTCTCAGTGGGGCCATACATTTTTCGGGTTGTATGGCCACACAAACGCTGAGGATGCTGACACTGTTTGGTCTTCAGTGCATCAGTGCGAGGACTTTCTTCCGCCACCAGCACCTCTACACAATCCCAGTCATTATGCAGGCCTGGCAGAATGAACAGACAGGGGTCATTAGGGAACTAAAGGAGATGGGCGGCGGACTGGCAATCTCGGGTGACTGCAGGTAAATGCACGGTTGGCCTCATCTAAAATGGAAAATGTTTACATTGCAACTCATTAATTCAATTTTTAACATTCTTAGGTCAGATTCCCCTGGGCATTGTGCAAAGTATGGCACTTACTCCTTAATAGAGGAGAGAACAAACAAGATCATAGATCTTCAGCTTGTCCAGGTGAGTATGATGTTTTTCAGTTCCACTACCAGATTTCAAGTGTTACACTGTCTGTGACATGTTACAGAGCTCTGAGGTCCCAAACAGCACCTGGTGTGAGCTTGAGGGTCTGAAGCGCAGCATGTTTTTTTTAAAGAACCAGAACCTACATGTGTCGACCCT